CCACCTCTGCTGGCCAGGATTTCTGGGAGTTGAAGTCCAAGAACATCTGGAGGCCCACGGTTGGGGACCACTGCTCTAGAGAGCCGAAAAATCAGCAAGATTTTAACTCCCTGGAAGCACTGGGGCAGCTACATTTTTATTTTTTTTATTTTTTTGCTCATTACCAATAGGGCAGCCATGCAATAGGCTCTGGCCCAGGTGAACGAAATGTCAGTGTGAGCCTATGGGCCGGAACCCTCAGAATTCTGCTTGGGGAATTCTGGGAATTGGAGTCCAAAAGACCACATCCGTGGTGTGAATAAATCAAGCCGTGAAGTGCTAGTTGGCCATAATACTTGGGAGTAGGGACATGAGAAGGGACTAGGAGGAGCCGACTACACCCTCAGCTTGGACTGCAATCTGTGATTAATTGCATGGAAGGAAATGTCATAAGAACACCCCTGACGTTATTCCTGCAAGGATGTTATTTAATGGCCCAGTATACGTTTCTTCTATAGATTGGAACAAAGGCTTTAAAAATAAGCTTTCCTTAGTACTGTTCTAGAATCCAAGGAAAGATGGTTAGCAAAAGGCACTCTTGAGATCCTACCCAAGTGGTGGGTTTAGGTAGTTTATGTACATCTCCCTGTCGGACTCTGAGGAATACGACGTGAATGATTTCTAACACTAGAGGAGAGGGTCTCGAGGAGTACTGGGCAAGAAAAATGTCCTGTGCAGAATTCTTGCGAGCATCAATGCCCACCGTGGGCACACTGCTCTGCATCTCCCCTACCACATCTGTCGTTCTTTTCTAGATGCGCTGGTATCCTCCTTCTGAAGCTACCCAACAAGGATGGAAGTCTCGTCAGTTCTGTTAGTTTTAGTGAGTATCTTAACTTTGATGTGCATGTAAGCTCCAGGTGTGGAGAAGAAACGGTCCTTAAGGATTACCATATTTTTCGCTCTATAAGACGCACTTTCCCCCCACAAAACGGGGGTGGAAAGTCTGTGCGTCTTATGGAGCGAAGAAAACAGATTATTTTTTTCCTGTTTTCTTCTCCTGAAAATTTGGTGCGTCTTATGGAGCGAAAAATACGGTAGTTTTTAGGCCACTGCTCAGTCTTGGGAGCTCCTTGCCTTGCTAGTTTAGAAGGAATGGGTGAGAGGCAGCAGTAGATGTTTTACTCCTAGCATGACACTGGAATGGTGATGAAGGGTATGTTGTCCTATGCTTTTCTAACGCTCTCTTGCTTTTCCAAAGAGCAGCCTCTTGGCCCACATTTCCCCCTTCTTGTCTCTCCACGGAGTGATGTGCCAGGAATGAAGTAGTCTGTGGATCGCTGGAAACCTTCCCTTCGACCCCTTCTTGTGGACGCCGGCATGGTGCCCAACTGCAGTAACTCTCCCTTCTCGTGAATGAAGCTGTGGGCTTCCCTGTCCCAGGACTGTGAACATCAGCGGTCCAGGCTCCTTCCAGCTCGGTGGACTGCATGGTCTGTGTACTCTTCCCCTTTGCCTGCCTCCCACCCACCCACCTGCTCCACTAATCCCCACTGCTAAGTTTCTCCTCCTGCTTTGCCGAGGTCTAGTCGAAGAGGGTACCCAACCTGGGTGAGAAGACCCCTGTTTGGTTTCCAGCTGGGAACCAAGGCTGGCACCGAGCATGGTCTCTAGCTGTGTACAGTGCAATATTCAAGAGCCTTTCTTCTCCTAAACCTTGTTTGTGCAGTTTTCGCTGAAGGAAGCGAAAGACAAATCAGTTTTGCATGTTTTTCTGGCATGAATTTAAAACACTTTAACTTGGTGGGTGTGCGTGTGTGTGTGTGAGTGTGCAAAGCTTGTTTTGTTCTGGCATTTGTGTAACCATGGCAACAGGTCTTGGCCCGGCTATTGATCACTGAAGTTTTTTTCATCTTGCTTCTGTGAAGGCTTGGCTTCTAAAAAAAACACTATCCTAGTTTTTCCCTGTTCTCTGTTTCTCTCCCTCCCTCCCCACCCCACCCCCCCACTTCGCTTTCCTCGTTTGAGGCTTCCTCTTGTCATTCTTTGCTTTGACTCGAATTTGAAGAAAAGAAAGAAAAAAAGTTTCTTCTCGAAAGTACAATGCACTGGGTTCCTTGTCCATTTTGCCCTTCTCTCGTTCAAGTCAGGGTTGTTTTCGTGTTTTCTTTTTCTGTCAGACTTCTATATATAGAACAGCTGTAAAATATTTAACCTTTTTTTCCACATCCCTCTGATTGGGGAGAATCCAGTCTTGCCAAATAATCAGCCATCCTTATGGGAATACCGAACAAAGATGTACGAGTATTTTTGTACCATGTGTAATAAGGAAATATTTATGCATCATAAAGATTTTGTGTGGTTTTTTGTGCAATTAATTATTATTAAAGAGAAACTGTAATCTGTAAGATAAGTTTAATGTTCAGTTTAAAAGCTTGAAGAGAAAAAGGACTTTTTTCTGTAACTGATTCAGTCAGGCATAGTAACAAGAAATTGTGCAATTTTTTTTGTTGTCATTTTATTGCTTGGTATTTGGAAGTGCTTTAAGTATTATATTGGACCATGGCTGTCTCACTTGTATTAAGATTCTTGAGAATAAGTTGCTATATCCTATGAGAATGTGAAACTGGATAATATATGAATTGTACTCAGAGGTGTGTTGACTCTTTTCTGCATAGAAATGCACAAAATTTACAGGCTGGCCTTGCCTTACTCTGTGTGTGTGTCTGTGTCTGGGCCTCTACCCTCACTTGGAACATCATCCTTGCTGCATTGATCAACCTGCAGGCAGGCCATCATCACCAACGTAATGATGTTGGGGGGTTGCAAATGGCAGAGATACTTAGAGGACTTTCATAGACCTGTCTAAACTTTCTTTACTGTTGTAGAAGTCACAGATTTTATTTTATTTATTATTTCTTTCTAAAGCTTATAGCTTACCTGACTTAGTGAGAACACTATTCAAGATGGGAAGGTGAAATTCTTGGTTTTAAAGGAAAAAATAGATATAAACGTAACAAACCTTATAGAATAGACAGGTTCAATAGGACATCCTTGCTTCTATGTACAATCACTCTATGAAGTTATTTTTTGGGGGTGAGTGATTTGCTTTCAAGAACGTAATCCGAAATTGGATGCTTCAAAAGGAGCAGATCCACAGAATCGTTGTCGAATGGTGATACTATCTCCTAAAAGGAGTTCAGTCCTGGGTGTGGACATATGTCCCCGTTAACCAAAAGGTTTAAGATGGTCTTGAAATAGAGAATGAACTTGGGAAAGAATCCAGTGAAAACCCCATAATAATAATTTGGGACTTTAATAACCTTCACCTTTGTCTAGACTGGGTAAATATTTGTCTTGCTCATAGTGAAGAGGTCAGAAGCCCACATAATTTTGAGTAAGTGATCCCCTAGATCTGGCGAGAGATCCAGATATCAATGATATTAAACCATTTAGAAGGTTATCCACAGTACTACCAAATTCAAGTGGGCAATCGCCACCCTAACATGGTCATGTTTTAACTTAAAACCAGTAAGTCATCTTCAAATGAGGATTGGCTAAACGCTGGAAGGTAAAGTTGAAGAGGGTGAAATCTCTTCAAGAACATCGAGGATCGTTCAAAACGACAATAAGAGAAGCTCGGTAATAATGTGTACTGCAGAGCAGGAAAAGTATGAAGAAGGATATGCCCAGTATATTTAATGAGCAGTGTCAAGAAAGCTTTTGGAGAAAAAAATGACAGCTTTTGGGAGGTGAATGGCTTGCTCTGGTGAAGTGAACAGATGACTCTCGGTCATGCAACGGCTTTACTAAAACCAGATGCCCGGTCTCTACATTTCCATCCCATAGTGTTCACCAATCTTTCAGAAGCAAAGAAAGACATTTACATGGGGCTCCTGTCCTGATATGCCATGCCATAGCATCACTGTTACAAGTTGGGGCTCCTTTCAAAAATTATTATTATTCAGTGGAAAGTGGGGGGAGACTTTGCTTAACACCGTTACCTTTAGTTGCTTGATTTTTTTTTAACAAATGCACTGACAAACACACAGGGCTTCCAAGTGACCTCCCCAGCAATATTTTGGAATAATGAGTGTAAACATTCCTTGTTGTTCTAAAAAGAATAATGCTACTAATTATTGTGGTTTTTAACACACAATTTTGTGATGCCTTCATTGCTCCCCAAACCAGTGAGTGGCAGGTATGGCCATCACTTAAAATGCTTACGGTACTTCAAAGTCCTGGTCACAAGGGTGGCGATTCGTAACAGCAGCTATACTGTGGCAAAGGTACATGAAACATTAGCATATTGCTTGACATGCACAAACTACATGAAGAACTAGTATGCCATAATACAAGGACTGTGAAGCAACTAATCTGCTCCCCAATGGAAATACCTTCCTCAGAGCTATTTAAAGGTTCAGCAAACACTACCGGACAGTTGTTGTTGTTGTTTAGTCGTTAAGTCATGTCCGACTCTTCATGACCCCATGGACCAGAGCACGCCAGGCCCTCCTGTCTTCCACTGCCTCCCAGAGTTTGGTCAACATTACCAGATAGTACCTGGGAATAAATGAGCTTTAAGAAGAGAAAGAAAAAAATCTTTATTGTTAACGAGATCAGCCATGCATTGGACCCATGGACAGTGTGACGACTCAGCTCTTGCATGCTCACTGTTGGGTGGAACCATGCTCCGTGTCTCCTTACATGTATGAAGTCGGCCAAAGGGGCTGCTGTTCCTTTAAGAACTGACTTCCTGGTCCTCCTGGGATTTGACATCTGTGTATGAAAAAGGGTGTGGAGCTGATGCTTGTACTGTCCTCACGCCTCTCCCTGCCCCTTTCCTCACTCCACGTTTTTTTTTTAAAAGTTGGCAATCATGATGTCTCTTGTGTGAAACCTAAAATATAACACTCTTCTCCATTAGCGTTGTCAGTTCCCAGTTCTGAGGATTTTTCTCACTCTGTAGATGTCATGACACAGAATGCAGCTTTCCATAGCACTGGAATATATGCAAGGGAAATATATCTGTTGTGTGTGATGCTGCGTATATGGATGAATTACATTTTTTAAAAACTTCTGTGCTGTTTTCACCTTTCCCTTTAGAGTCTTGAATAGAAATTTCCTTCATACTTGGAATGCCGAGGAAGTCAAAGACCTCCATTTCCAACAGTTCTGTAAGCTCTTGAATATATCTCACCCATTCAATCTGGCTTGAGTATGAGGAGTCCTACTTTACTTGTCTGTGGGACACGATCAAAGCACAAGATTCAGGGCTCCTTCTGGTTCCTCTACAGCCTTCCTCTTCCTCTCTAACCTGCCAATCCCGTATTGATGCAAAGAATAAATGTGTCCTTTGCTAAAGTCAAGCTATGTAGAAAAGAAAGGAAAAACAGTTCAATATCAAAGAGCTCGGAATCCTTAATCTTGTTAATGGAATGGAAGGGGATGACCTACAAGAATTTTATACCGTTGGCCTATAGTTGATTCCTTCCTACTGCCTAGAGCCCAGACCAATTTCAATTTTTTAAGAGCTGCTTTTTTAAAATTACCATATTTTTCCATGTATAAGGCACCGCCATGTATAAGATGCCCCCCCACGTTTCCAACGCAAAATTAAGAAATCTAAGTGGGGCTTGGCAAGTGGAGGGGAAAGAAGGGATCAAAGCTATCCTGCAGTGCTATGATCCCTTTCCCCCTCCACCAAGTGGTGGATCACTGCTTTCCCCTCCACTTGCTAAGCCCTGTGGGGCTTAGCAAGTGGAAAGGGATCAATCCCTCCACCAAGTGGTGGATCACTGCGTTCCCCTCCACTTGTGGAAAGGGATCAAAGCACTACATGGATTGCCTTGATCCCTTTCCCCCTCTACTTATTTTTGCTGTATCCTCTGCTTACTTCCATGTATAACGCAACCCTCAATTTTTAGTATAAAGATTTTAAGGGATCAAAGCACTACATGATCGCTTTGATCCCTTTCCCCCTCCACTTATTTTTGCTCTATCCTCCGCTTACTTCCATGTATAAGGCAACCCTCAATTTTTAGTATAAAGATTTTAGACGAAATTATCATAAATGGAAAAATACGGTACTGTCCATTCCAAACTTTTCTGCCTTGCACTGGATGTTACTGCCCTGTCTGCTCCTCCCCACTGCTGTGTTTTGTCCTTTTCTGAGTGTGAATAGAAGCACACGCTCTCAAGACCAGCTTCTCTCTCTTTCTGAGGCAAACTCTAGCACCTGATGTCCATAGCCTTTCTCTGTCTCCTGCTGGGAGCGAAGATGTGTGGGCACCCCCTCCTCCATTAGACCGGCAGGTTGCACTGGAGTCTCCAAAAGGCAAGGCCGTTTTGATGAATAAATGATAACAATTAAATCAGCCATGTTGAAATAACTGTTCAACCAAGCAAGTATTCTCCTAAGCACACAGGAAGCTGCTTCTGTGCTCCTATGAAGAAACTGGAAGTTTGTGAGAAGAATACCTCCAATACTTCTGCAGATGGGAAGTTTCGTAGGCTGTCCCCCTCAGGTTGCTTGATAGGATACATGTACAGATGATGCAATTAATTTCTCTCCTCCTCCTGCAAAACTGGGAAAAGTCCATTTTGTTGTGTCATCCGCATCTTGTCCTTATCCAGCGTCACCCATCTGCTGTCATCTGTTTTTCCATGTTTATCAGCCCCTGGGTTAACTTGGTTTTGCGTGGTGGTGCACAGTCTTGTAAGGGCAGTAATGCATTATTCAAAAAGGAAAATCAGGTGTCAAAGTAAGAGCTTGTCACCTCCCAAACTTTGTAAATTCGCTTCCTTTGACTCACACATATATCTCCAACATTAACATGCTTTAGTTCCAACGATGATGGATTATTTAGGAAATCTAGTTCATTGCCCAGTGGTGCCACACAGCTTGGTTCAATTAATTTCTCCCTCTTATCTTCATTCTAATCCAGAGCTCCCCAACTTGGGTGTTGTGATCCTCAAGGAGGTCGCAAAATGTTTTCTGAGGGCGGAGTTGTGGCTCACCCTATATAGTGTCGCCTTTGTCGAATAATATCTTCCTTGACCTTTCAGAGCAGGATATTAAAATCAGTGTGTATGTGTATGTATGAGAAACAGACCCTTTGGGGGAGAAAGAAGCCTCTGCTTTCCGAGAAGGGGTGACTTTGTCCTCTTAAAAATGCCTTTGTATGAAAAATGGTCGGGATGTCCCATTTTACTTGGCAGTTACAAAAGGGAGTTGCGATTTGAAAAAATCTCGGGAGCCCCTGCTCTAATCGACTTTATTCTCTTAAAAATGCCTTTTAATGAAAACATGGTCAGGATGTCACCTTTTACTTGGCGGTTACAAAAGGGAGTTGCGATCTGAAAAAATCTCGGGAGCCCCTGCTCTAATCTCACAATTGTTGATCTTCTCTCCCTTCGCTGCCAGTTGGTCAAGACTAAATGCAAAGAAACAACCCAAGGATGGTGTGACGTGTCCCCTAAAGAACACCAACAATTCAACGTCCCTGCAAATGTTCGGTATTATGGTGCATAAGGGAGGATCCAGCAGTTTCTTTGAACGTATTTTTCTGTTTTGGAGTTGAAACTCGAGTGATGTTTGGGAGGCTGGGCATAGAAACACACACACACACCTTTTTTTTTTTACTTGTGTGAAGCTATCAGTGGCCCTAAGTGATGAGACTGGGCCAGCTTGATCAGGGCTGGGTCACTCCAAGAATGGATGCATTTTTCTTCCTTTGATATCCATTAAAAAGCATCAAATGGTTTTTAGCAGAAGAAAGGTAAGGACTTAGGAGCAGTCACTCCCATCCTAGAACTCTGCACTGGCTGGTGCGGATGAGAGTTCTCCCAAATCGCTGTAAGATGCCAAGTTGGAGAGACTGGCCTTGAGCCAGCTCTATCTAAAATAAACACCAGCACTTAATCAAAATTATTTTTATTTTCTCTAAAATGCCTCCAGTGTTGGGGCTATTGACCACCTCCCAAGGTTACTGATTCCGTTGTTGTACTCCTCTAACAGTTAGGAAGTTTTTCCTGGTATTCAACTGTAATCTGGCTTTCTATAACTTCACAGATCTTCCCCTCCCCTATAGGACAATCTTTCAAGTATTTGAAGGTGTGCTATCCTATCACCTTTCGGTCATTTTTTCTCAGACCTAATGTCCAGTTCTTTCAGTCTTTCCTTATAGGACTCAGTTTCACAGGACTCTGATCGTCCTTGTTGCCCTTCTCTGTACCTCTTCACTGTTTTTTAAAGAATTGCAGTCAGCCATTTTAGGAAGAGGAGGAACACCTTCACCAGCAAGCTGAAGCATTCTTTCTCCACTGCTTTCCAGGAGGCCAATCATTATTCCTCCAGTATTCCTTTTCTACTCACTGTGGAGTACTGGTTGCACCCTCTTCACCACATTGAAGTGTCTCTGAGGGGAAAGGCTATTTTCCATTAACCTTGCAGTCCATGCCGTGTTGGTGGCTGTCATATCTTATAAATACTGTAATGATTTCAGAAAGATCTCAGGTTATGGATTAGCCCATTGTATGGATCTGATTCTTCTGCTTAATCCAGCTGTGTGTGATACAGAGAACTGAGAGCCAATTTGCTTCCCATGAACAGGAACCAGGCTTCTTAAATCTTTTCCAAACATATGGTTGGTGGGTTGGTTGGTTGGTTATTTGATTTACATATTGTTGCAAAGCACTATTTTGGGCAGTTTACAGCAAAATAATAAAACACAAGAACAATGAAAATAAAACCAAATCAACAGATAAAGTAAAACACAAGAACAATGAAATGAAAATAAAACCAAATCAACAGATAAAATCGGGTGCAACAAGAGGCGTGGTTTCAAATATAGGGCAGGGTTGTCTTCTAATGATGTCATAAAATGCTCACCGTCTTGCTTGCGTGTCACTTTCGTCAACACACCCTTGGCGCTCTGTTTTCAAGAACACAGGAAGATGTTTTTCTACTAGGCACCTACTACTGGTTTATCTCTGTCATGTCTGCACTGACCAGTAGCCGCTCTTCACCTTTACCTAGAGATGCCACTAGTTGAGTGAGGGATCCATGCGATCTTCCCTCTTCTATTCCAACACACGAACCCGTCTTTTACTAGGTGAAACTCCTTAATCGCCTGTCTAGTGCAGTAGTGCTTCTACTAAAAGTAGCTCTGGGGTAATTTCAGGAATATGCTCTTCCCCGCAAATGTTGTCACTGACCCTTTTAACCCAAAGTGCCAGCGGCTGGACACTCTGCGTGCAAAGCTTGTAACCTGCCACTGCACTATGGGCTTCCTTGGCACTAGACCGCGGTCGCCTACATGCCACCACCCATCTTTTGACTCCAGTGGCCTCTCCCCTTCACCAGCACCTGTTCAATCTCTCCGACTTCATTCCAGATGACTTGTTTCCCCTTTTTTCCTCTGTCTGTCAGACCAGCTGCATTACTCAGCTTTGCTCGTCTGAGCATGAACGGCCCCTGGGGAGCAGTGGAACCAATAGTGGGGGCACCTTGCCCTCTGAATTATAGACGAGATTGCTTAAATCCTACATTAACATGGACAGCGCATGAATAATGCACAACCCTCGTGCTTACGTAGGATTGTTGTCGATGTGCATGCGCAACATTCATCATAATCAAAGTAGGTCATAGCAACGGCAGGGGCCCTTGCCATTTCTTGCTCCCTCACTGTAGGCAATTACCTACAGGTACCTAGAAAGAGCACTGCATTTTCCTAGTACTATATGTTGCAATAATTTTGGCATAAAGCAGAAATAGAAGGAACTGCGCATAATGTTGGCATGTATTGCATGAGCCATGGCTTGGTATAAAATGATAACAGACGTTCATGTGAAGGTGGATGCTTCCTCTCCAGAGAACCGGGCTGGCCACCATGGTGTTACCGGGTACACTCTCAGAGCACATTCATTAACTTACACATGTTCAGAGACGCACCGGTAAAGGATCTTTGGACAATGGCAATAATGTCTCTTGACACAGATTGGCTGAGTTTGTCACAGTCACACAGAGCTGTTCATCAGAGGCCTTTTACTGAACACAAACTACAGTATAGCAAAGATTCAACAATGTAATATATAACTAATACGGGGAAATATAGACTCGATTGCTGGATAGTTTAGTGGTTTAGGTATCTGGTGGTGGAACCAGAAGCTGAGAGTTCGATTCCCGCGCTGGGTCTCCTTCACAGGGGCTGGATTCAGTGATCCATTGGGACCCTTCCAGTTCTGCAGTTCTAAGATCCAAAAAAAGCTAATTTGCACGCAACACTGAGAGATTCACGCAACACTGCAAAGGTCTGCGGTACCTGAGTAGACTATTTACAAAGGGGCTATACGGATAAAAAGAGAAAAGGGGGGAAGGATCTTTCTCTAAATCGCACACATGAAAGTGGGAGTAGACAGGGGAACCAAAGGGGTGACAAAGATTATATCTCTTTAATCTTGTTAGATTGTAGTCTAAAAACAAAAGAGATCTCTGATGTTATGTGCCATCAAGTTGGAATGACATAGTGACCCTAATAGGGCTTTCAAGGGATCGGCCTCTCTGATGTTATGTGCCATCAAGTCGGAATGACTTACAGTGACCCTAATAGGGCTTTCAAGGTAAATAAGATATTTAAGGAGTGGCTTTCCTAGTGGGAGGTGGTGGCGCTGTGGGCTAAACCGCAGAAGCCTGTGCTGCAGGGCCAGAAGACCAAGCAGTCATAAGATCGAATCCACGCAACGGAATGAGCGCCCGTCGCTTGTCCCAGATCCTGCCAACCTAGCAGTTCGAAAGCATATAAAGATGCAAGTAGATAAATAGGTACCACCTCGGTGGGAAGATCACAGCGTTCTGTGTCTAGTCGTGCTGGCCATGTGACCGTGGAAACTGTCTTCGGACAAACGCTGGCTCTACGGCTTGGAAACGGGGATGAGCACCGCCCCCTAGAGTCGAACATGACTGGACTAAATGTCAAGGGGAACCTTTACCTTTACCTTCCTGGTTCCACTCCCCCCAGTCAGTTTCCATGGCTGGGATTTGAACCCTGTTCTTCAGAGTCCTAGTCTCATCATTCTATCCACTCTGTCCATGACGACACCCCACTGGGTATCTTCAGGAGGGCTATCTTGTGAGATGACTCTCTGGCTGGGACATTCATGTCCTCTATGAAGTTTTGCTGGGGGGGGGGGTTGTCCGGGGCTACATTCGTGCCATTTCCTCTTGGGGCGCGCCTCATTGGAGACCAGACAGCCACCTTAAAAAAAAAAAACACCTATACTTGTTTTTGGCCTGTCCTGTTAAAACAGTCGGTGACAAGCACCTACAGGTCTTGGCAAAAATTAGTCTCTGCAGGGGTGTCAGGATCTCTCCCTCATTTCAACCTCTGAGAAAAGGCACGGGCTAGTAGAGTGGGCTGGGAATAATTACTTGTTTAATAAATCATTCACCTAGTAAACTGTAGAATGTTTTCACACTGACTGTAGGCTGCAAGAATACAAGTGCTAGAGCAGGCTATAGGTGGCCTTTGGCCTATGGTGTTTACCCCATTCTCTTTTTCTTTTCATGCATTTGGCCCATTTTTCTAAGGTTTCGTGGGTTTTTTTGAAAGAATACTGACTGTGGCTCCGGTGCCACCTGGCGGTAAGAACAACATCAGTGACGGTTATAATACAAAGCAGAGGGTGCTGCTTATACTGAGCAGACCATCGCTGAGAGAGATTCAGTACCCTTTCGGTGGTTTACAATATAAATGTGTGTGCTACAATAAGTCTATTCTTGTCACAATGTACTGTACTAAGTAACCAGATTTCGGCCAATATTTGAACCATCTGGGCCATTTCTCCACTACTAGCTCATTGTTTAGTCGTGTCCAACTCTTTGTGACCCCATGGACCAGAGCACGCCAGGCCCTCCTATCTTCCACTGCCTCCCGTAGTTGTGTCAATTTCATGTTGGTTGCTTCGCAGACACTGTCCAGCCATCTCATCCTCTGTCGTCCCCTTCTCCTCTTGCCGTCACACTTTCCTAACATCAAGGTCTTTTCCAAGGAGTCTTCTCTTCTCATGAGATGGCCAAAGGATTGGAGCCTCAGCTTCAGGATCTGTCCTTCCAGTGAGCACTCAGGATTGATTTCCTTTAGAATTGATAATTTTGTTCTCCTTGCAGTCCAGGGGATTCTCAAGAGCCTCCTCCAGCACCACAATTCAAAGGCATCAATTCTTTGGCAGGGATCAATTCTTTGGCGGTCGGCTTTCTTTATGGTCCAGCTCTCACTTCCATACATCATGACAGGGAAAACCATAGCTTTGATTATTCAGACTTGTGTTGGCAAGGTGATGTCTCTGCTTTTTAAGATGCTGTCAAGGTTTGTAATCGCTTTCCTCCCAAGAAGCAGGCGCCTTTTAATTTCGTGGCTGCTGTCTCCATCTGCAGTGATCATGGAGCCCAAGAAAGTAAAATCTGTCACTGCCTCCATATCTTCCCCTTCAATTTCCCAGGAGGTGATGGGACCAGTGGCTGGCAATGTCTAAATGCAGCGAACACTGCATGCTAGCGAAGAGGCAGACCAAAACTGAGTAACCTCCCCAGAAGATGCACATTATAGTCGCCCCCCCCACCCCAAAAGTAGTTGTGCATTTACTGTACAATGTTGAGTACTGTGTCAGGAAGTGGAAAAGAGCAGACAAATTTGCAGGACACCATGGCAGGTATTTAGCAGATGATACACTGGGAGATCCGGCTCTAGGCGTAGATATGGTTGCTCCCCTATGGGACTTCTTTCATTAGCAAGATCACAGTGGTGATAAAAGAGCTTTAAAACTTGGGAACGGACCTCAACAGATGGGACACATTGACATCTGAGCATTCAGCCTGGAGGCAAGTGGTGCAGCATGGCCTCTCCCAATTTGAAGAGACCCTTGTTCAGCAGGCTGAGGCCGACCCAAATCCAGCAAAACCAGGGACCTCAACAGGGGACCGATGGTATTTGTTTTCAGTGTGGAAGGGATTGTCACTCTCGAATTGGCCTCCTCAGCCACACTAGACGCTCTTCCAAGACCTTTACTCAGAGCATGTTACCATAGTAGTCCCTTGAGACTGAAGGATGCCTACTATCATTTACTGTTTTCATTTTTTAATTTTTTTTTCTTGAATTGCATTTCCCAGGGCAGCAGTGAAAACAAACAAAGCAAAACCCAAAACAATCTTTGCTTTCCTTCCTTCCATGGAAGAGCAGAGGACGTTTTTAATTTCCTAATGTCATGCATGAACTGGCTAAGTGGTCTTCTCAAGTCACTTAACAATCTTGGGAAAATGTAAGCGGAAGGGATATTTAAAGCAATAAAGTCTGCTTTGTTCAATCCCAGTGATCTCATGTAGAGATGGGGGTACTCGTATACGAATACCCCCGCACAACTTAACAAGGCTCCGGCCCCCAGGGCCGGACCGTCCACTCACGCGTCCGGCAGTGGTGGCAGCATCGCTCATCTTTCCCATCACTCCCAGAGCATGAGAAATGAAAAGTACAGATTGATACAGCTGGTCTCTCGAGGTAAAATAAGCAAGAGCAAACATACAGGAAGCAGGACTTCCTGGCTGAGCCACTTTTGGGGACTAGTTAAGGTGCAATACAGTATGGTAGGGCCCCCTTATCTGCGGGATCAGTATCCACTGATTCACTCATCCACGGTCAGAAAGAAAGAAAAGGCCAGGGTGGAAGGAGGACAGAAAGGAGCTACTTGGTGTATTCTTGTTCCGCTGTTTTCCTTTGGAATATGGCTTTGAGTTTTTTTTGTTCAAAGATGGCCACCTCGTGGTCTGAGACAGAGTGTCCAGGCAGACGGACGTCTCTCCCCAGTACTTTTTGAGCATTACCAGTCAGAATCCTATCACTGCTTTACACCCGCACAAGGGAAATCTGGTTGCGGTTTGATGGCAGATTGCCGCGCATGAATAAGGCACTGGTTCTGTTCCAGCCCCACAACTGAGGGCCTGCCCGGGAATGTAATGAGCGCCTTATTCATGAGCAGCCATCTGCTGCCAAGGACTTACTGCAGTTACCTACTCTATGTGCAAGAGTAAACTGGCTGAGGGATGCTCATCACAGTTTGCATCGTCAGATTTGGGGCCATTTATTCTTCTGCAGGAAGACACACACACCCCCATTTGTTCCAGGTAAAATATTATGGGCCACTGCTGGCAAAAGGTGGCATGTATTCTAAAGCCTTCCCTACAGCTCCGCCCTGCAATTCCTTGATGCCCTGCACAATTTATTAATTTATATTTATTTGTGCATTTCTGTACCACTGACTTAAATACAACTCTAAGCAGTCTAAACAACATGGCAAACATCAACAAATTTTTTAAAAAACGCAACTTTTTTTGATGGTTGTTGTGGGGTTTTTTGGGTTCTTTGGCCATGTTCTGAAGGTTGTTCTTCCTGATGTTTTACCAACTTTCTTTTTGTTTGTTTGCAAGAACACAAACACAAATACAACCCTTCGAGAGGCAGCAAATTCTCTGGGAGCTGGCTGGATAACTCTCAGGTTTAGATCTCTGGCTGCAGAGCCAGAGGTTGGGAGTTTGATTTCCCCCACTGTGTGCTTCCTGGGAGTAGAGCCAGCCTGCGGAGCCTTGGGTAAGCTGCAAAGTCCCCGGGGTGGCCCCAGAAGAAGGGAAGGGTAAACCACTTCTGTGTATTCTCTACCCAGAAAAACCTGGAAAGGGTCTCCATGAGTCAAAATTGACATGGCAGCATGCAATTATTATTTTGTATGTTCAAAAAGAAAGTGGAAGATTGTACTTGTAGGATTCATGATGGTGTTGACATTGAATAAAAGTAAAGCTCAGGTTATAGAGTGTTTAAGTGCTCAAAGCAATTCATATACCTTATTTCAGCATTCCTCACAACATTCCTGTAAAGTGCAATAGTATTATCCTCAAACTAGGATCAAAGCTGAGAAACAGTAGCCTTGACTAAGACCTCCTAGGGAATTTGTGACAGAGGAGAGAATCATCTGGGTGAAAATATCAGCAAAACGTTTGTATTATAATAGCTTCCTTCTGTAAAAGAGAAAATAACACACAAGATTGCTTGCCATTTTGTAAGTACTGTATAGATTTTAGATGTTCACAAGTAAAATCTTATATAAAAAGCCTTCTCTTTTGTGCACATCTTCACAGTGTAACAGAGAGTTCAGGAAGAAAACACTGCTTTTATGGCCACAAGACAGAGAATGTAAGTTTTCAATTGGAAAAAGGTCCCTTTTGCCTCTTTAATCCAAAGATGGATAGCATTACTTTTTGGGACTTCACTTACCCAAATACCCACTAGCCATGCTGACTACAATATTTCATAGAATCATAGAAAAGTGAAGTTGAAAGGGGACTACAAGGTCCTCAAGTCCAGCCCCCTGCTCAATGCAGGCATACAATCAAAGCATATCTGCCAGGTGATTATCTAAGATTTTGTATTCGCGAAGGCTTTCATGGCCGGGATCTAATGGTTGTTGTGGGTTTTTCAGGCTTCTTGGCCATGCTCTGAGCACAGTTTGCTGTCTTCTGAAGATGCCAGCCACAGAGACTGGCGAAACGTTAGGAAGAACCACTTTCAGAACACGGCCAAGAAGCCCGAAAAACCCACAACAACCACTATCTAAGATTTTCTTGAATGCCTCCAGTGTTGGAGCACTCACCAACTCCTGAGGTAACTGGTTCCGCTGT